ATCATAAAAATAAAATAAACTAATAATATAATAAATAAATAATATAAACAATAAATAATAAAACCGAGCAAAGTGGCTCAGCGCCCTGGATGCGCAATCGAGAGGTCCGGGTTCGATCCCCAGGCCGGCCATCCTGACCGGGGATTTCGTGGTTTCCCTCAGTCACAAGGCGAATGCTGGGATTCTTCCAAAAGCACATGATCACCTTTAACCTCCCACCATCATCCTAAATATTTTCAGCCCCTCATCATCACCCTAAATAATAATAATAATAATAATAATAATAATAATAATAAAAAGAAATGGACCGATGCTTTCCGCGGCATGGGGAGCCCTGCAACCCAGACAGTTCGTGGCAGCTAGATGATCGCCCGCGCAGAACGCTGCGCCTGGCAGCACGACTGGCGCGGAACGCAGAGACCTTTACACCCGCAGACGCCCTTTCCCTACCCCTCCATTCCCCTCACTCCCCCTCACTCCCCCTCACTTCCCCTCACTCCCCCTCATCCCCATCCCCCTCACTCCCCCTCACTCCCCCTCACTCCCCTCATCCCCCCTCACTCCCCCTCACCCCCCTCACTCCCCCTCATCCCCCGCATTCCCCCGCATTCCCCCGCACTCCCCCGCACTCCCCCGCGCTCCCCCCGCACACCCCGCCGCTCCCATTCACTCCCCCGTGCTCCCCCGCACTCCCCCGCACTGTTTCGCTCTGCTAAAAACAATATTTTTCACTACAACACCTCATTGCACCTGGCGCACGCACATTTCTATCAAATCTATTTTCACGTCTTTCACCTGCCATTTTCATAGTATCTCTGAAATGCATAGTACTTCTGAATCATAATGATTTCTCGAAAAATGTTTTATTTGAAAATGGATACATCTATTGGAATAGGAAGATAAAGAAATACTGTATGTAGTATTTTTTTATTCATTGGAAGATTCTGCTTTAAGAGTAAAAGTTGCCACAAGTAGTAAAGATGCTAACAAATAGGTTCCCGGGAGGGGTCATGTGGGAGAATTTTGACCGCAGGTTTGATTTTTTCATGCACAGTTTTATTTGAGAATGTTGAAAATTCTCGTGATTTTTTTTTCGCTCGAAACGCTCGGAACAAATCAAAGTTGTTTCGAGAGGTTTCCGTTTTATGCAGGGTTGTCCATTTAACGACCATTAACGGACATAATTGTGATATTGATATTTCCGTTCTAAAACTAATATGACTAATAAACGTGAATGACAAATTCGAAATAAAATCGGACCGTTTCCGTTTTTATAAGCGCACATTGATCTATTTGAGCAAGGAATTTAAGAAAAATGTGGAAACTTTCTGAGAAAAATTTTTAAAATGTAAAATATGTTGCATATAAAGAACTTCCAAAAGTTAAAATATCCTTTTCAAATTCGCAGAGCCTAACGTTAAATCAGATACATCGGACAATGTCGTATGTCGCGGGGCGGGGTCGAGTAGGACAGGACGAGCAGGCGACGAGGAAAATATAATAAATAATAATGCCTTTATTAATGGCGAGGCTTAGGCCAAAGGACCTGCTCTTCCACCTAACCACTGAATTTCCATACATATAGAGTAGTAACATTTTAAGAGGGGAGGACAAGCTGTACATTTACGTCTGGGAGTACAAATCTAGGGACCATCCCGGCATACGCATTGAGCGCTTGAGTAAACCCAGAAAAGCGCGATCACGATAGCGGCTTAGGGCCGAACATCATCAATTTACGGAGAAAAGTGGAAGAGAAGGAAAAATAAGAGAACGGAAACATAAATGAAAATGAAGAGGGAAAACAGGAAGAGAAAGAAGAGAGACCGAGAGGGGGGACGGAATGTAGTCGGGACGAAACTACTGCTGAGCTGGGGCACGACAGCGAAGGGGCCAATGCGTCACGATTACAAGCAGGTCGTAGCAGCGCTGGCGGAGCGGGAAGACGGCGACGGTGCTTAATTCTGATGGTTTAATATAAATTTTAACGCCATAGTCCGACTATCATTAAATTGCCGTAGTATCACGGAGAGATTAGACCCTTTAAGGCAAAGGCAAAATTGTGTAAATCAGGATGTATTTGCAATAGGTGTTGTTGAGCAAACATTAAAAATTATGCAAAACGAATTTTTCGACCCCTTCCTTTTACGAGTAAGTTAAAAATGTAGGGGGAAGTGAAGTTGATACATTACATATTCATCAATGCTACAGTGTTGCATCTCTTCCGTCAGAATTGTTTAATGAGGCTTAAATGGAGTACCTGTCCATTTGAGTGGGGGGCGAGAAGCATATCGCCCACGTTCGTCAATATCGCGTTTAATTTTATTCATTGCTTCTGAATTGGGCAAATGTTTCATTAATTTGCGCAGGAAATTAATGGAATATGAGAGCAAATCCATTGCAAATCATTATTAACAATAAATGGTTTGTGCAAATGGCTCTGCTTGAAAGCGTATTTGATCCATACGCTGTTCGATTGAGGGACTGATAATTTACTGATTTACTGACTCTCTAATGGTGCAGAATCAAATTACTTCCGAGTGAATTTTCCATTTACAGTTCCTAGTATCTATGTTGGAGTTCAAATACAAAAGGAGCAATTGAATAGTTCTTTATAATCGATTTGTAAATATTGCGAACTACATACCGGTGCTAATACATTAAGTACTACATGATTCTGCATTGAAATTTTTCAATATTTTAGATACTTTCAATATTTTAGATACTTTTAGATAGATTTAGATAAATTCACATTGTCTTCAATCTTAATACGATCGTGAACATTTTGTTTATTCAATCTTAAATGTTTATTAAACTTTTTAAATTACCACTATTAAAATTTCAATGACTAATACGATTATTTTAAGTAAAATATATAAATTATTTTATGAAGAAATCGCTTCAACGAGTAAGGTACGTTGTAGTTTCCAAATGTCCGGGTTTTTGAAACTTGCTTATTCCCCGCCTCGATATAAGTTTTGTTGGCCAAATATGGCATCACTTGGCGCCTGGCGTCTTGCAAGATCTATAGAAGCCAAGAATATTGCAAGATAGATAAACTCTTCTCGAAGATTACGATGAAATTGATTATAAGTTAAGATTTAGATTGTCGAAAAACTCTTTCTCACATCTATTGGTAGCAGTACTTCCTCGCATTGAAACTGACATCACGAAGCATGGTTGTGTTAGCTAGAAATCAACTTCTCATTACATTGCGCTGTTACGCCACAGGATCATTAAGCACTGTGCTAGGAGATAACACTCGCGTTCGTTAGAGGTAGAATAGACTAGCGTTTTTTAAATTTTGGTTTAACAAATGAAACCCTTTTCAATGCCCAATTTTGTCAGGGGATCTCTGGTTTACTTCGATAGTATGGTTTCAATTCTGTAAGACCTGTAATATCCTGTAAATGGGTTATTTGTAATAGTAATGACAGTTATTCTGAATAATATTTATTTTATTCAAATAATAATTTTAAAATTAATCCCAAAGTTTGTGAAATATAAATAAAGTACCTAAGTTCTGCTTTCTAAGTGTTGCTGCTTTCCATTATCGTATTTGTAATACATAATACGAGGTATTCGGTTTAGGTTTCATGAATGGAAGTTGAATTCTCATGTCAGGTTCGGTATCCATGCTGTTGAGGTAGGTATTTATTTTGTGTAGACACATTGTAGAGTATATTCACTGAGGTGACACGGCATAGGATACCTCCTAATATCGTGTCTTCACGTTTGACGGTGAAGTGCAGCAACTCGACGTGGAGTAGACTCACCGAGTCGTTGGAAGAACCCTGCGGAAATATTGAGCTATGCCGCCTCTATAGCCGTCAGTAATTGCGAAAATGTTGCGCCACACCCGAAACATAGGATCAGCTCTTACCAATCGGTACACACCTGACTAAGCCACGGTTTCCAGTCGTGTAATTAAATAAAGAATTCGAAATTAAACCATTAGAGGCATAATGAAATCTTAAAATTAATGTTGGAAATGAAAACATTATTATGGCAGGGGTATTAAAGACGGTGAGCGACGCGACATTGCCATTTCCAATTCTACTTATTTTCCCTTCTAAGCAAAGATTCCTTTTCCTCTGCGTGATATGGTTTCCGCTTGGCCTCCAAGTCGTCTTAGATTTTCGGTTCTTTTTCGTGAATTTTGAACAGAACACAGGCACGGAATACACTTCTCCCCATAGTACGTTATACACAGAATGTTAAATAAATAAATCTACTATTTGATCTGTATGAACTGGCAATGTGTAACTTGCAATTTCTTCCATGCCATAACCCCGTAGTCTGAGGGCTCCGGCCAACAAGTAGATACTACAACTTGACCTTGTCCAGGGCCAACTGAAACGTACTCAAGGGGTCACTGAAACGAAATAATTTCTTTTTGAAAGTCGTTAGAATTTATTGGTTGATTTTTTAGTGCATGTGCAGCAAGTGCAGCAAGCACTGCACATTTGTCTCTTGGCAAGAAAGCCTGAGAGCCTGATTGCCTAAGACCCTAAGAGTTTCAGAGCTTGACGGTCCGGGGGGATGAGTACGAGACGGCCTAAGAGCCTGACGACCTGACGCCTTGGTGTTCTGATGCCCCAGAGGCTTGACGGCCCGAAAGGCAGACGGCCGGAGAGCCTGACGGCTCGAGAGCCTGACGGCCCGAGAGGCCTGACGCCGAGAGCCTGACGGCCCGAGAGCCTGACGCCGAGAGCCTGACGGCCGAGGCCTGAGCGGCCCGAAGAGCCTGACGGCCCGAGAGCCTGACGGCCCGAGAGCCTGACCCGGGCCGAGAGCCTGACGGCCCGAGAGCCTGACACTGCCGAGAGCCGGACCCCGAGAGCCTGACGGCCGAGAGCCTGACGGCCCGAGGCAGCCTGACGGCCGAGAGCCTGACGGCCGAGAGCCTGACGCGCCGACCGAGAGCCTGACGGCCGAGAGCCTGACGGCCGTGAGCCTGACGGACCGAGAGCCTGACGGCCCGGCAGCCTGACGGCCCGAGAGCCTGACGGCCCGAAGAGACTGACGCCCGAGAGCCTGACGGCCCGAGAGCCTGACGGCCGAGAGCCTGGACGGCCCGAGAGGCCTGACGGCCGGGAGCCTGACGGCCCGAGAGCCTGCGCCGGCCCTGGGAGCCTGATGGCCTGAGGAGCCTTGCCGACCTGGGAGCCTGATGGCCCGAGAGCCTGACGGGCCTGGAGCCTGATGGCCCGAGAGCCTGACGGCCTGGGAGCCTGAGCGCCCGAGAGCCTGACGGCCCAAGAGCCTGACGGCCCGAGAGCCTGACGCCTGAGAGCCTGACGGCGCGAGGGCCTGAGGCTCGCGCACCTCGAGCCCTGCGCAGCGGGCCTGCGCTTAGCGCGGTGCGCGGCGCGGTGTGTCTGTTGCAGTCGCTGGAGAGCACCCGGCGCATGATCGCTCTGTGTGAGGAGGTGAGTGCGTGGCGCCGGCGCCCCCCCGCGCCGCCCTCCCCGTCCCACGCCCCGCGCCCCGCGCCCCGCGCCAGCGGCGCTCCCCGCCCACCCTCGCGCGCCAGGTGGCCCTCTGTCCGTTGGTGTGATGCTGTTTTCGTGTGTCGTTGTCCCCCGCCCCCTGCGATCGCATGCGAATGTGTCCGTGCTCTTCTTTTCTCTTCCCGAGACGGGCTGCCCGTGACTGTCTTCCTGGCCCTCTCGGTCGCTGTGTGTGCGTGTGTGTTCCCGCCCGTTGACCATGCTCGTTCTGTTTAGCTTGCAGCCGGCGGCTACGGCCGCGTGCGAGGTTCCACGATGTCCCGCCTTCGCCTCGCCTCGCCTCGCCTCAGGCACTGTGTGTGTTTGCTAACTCACCACCCCTCTGTGTCACCCGCTTTCTTTTTCCACGGGGCGCCTCTGAGCGTTCTGCAGGTGAGGGCGAGCGTCGTTCTCTCTCGCACGCTCGTTATTTTCTCGTGAGCCACGTGAAAGACTTTGCACAAAAATAGACGAATTTAGAAGACTGAGAGAAGCGATGCTTTCATCCATCGGAGAAATTGTCGGAGCTTTGAAATGTGAAAATCACAATTGCCTGCGATTTGCCAACATTTGATACATTTATCGTTCAAATTGTGTTACTTGTATCCATGAGAGACTTTTCGTTGTATTTCACCCTCCCAAGTTAAGCTAACAGCTAAATTACTTCAGCAATATCCACAAAAATATTAAAATCTTTGTGAACAAATAAAATCCCCTTAACATAAAAATTAAAATAATAAATGGATATATATGAAAAACATTACATTGACCAGTACACAAAACTCTACATTTACTACTTATTAAAATTTACAGCTGGGAATGTAATATCTGCATGTAAAATGAATTATTTGTCTCTATATGATTGGCTGTAGTTTATTTCACCCTCCTTGCGTGCCTTTCGTCGCCTCGTGGAGCTCGATGTTCCGCGCCGATAAACACCCAGCGCGCCGGCAGCTAATTCAATTTATATTTTCATTTAACCACTCCACATCTCTCTGCTGCTTTCTCAAGCATTAAAACGTTATATTCTCGCATCACATCACTGCACTGATTATACAATTTATTCCCCAATGAGATATTTTTTCATATGTAAGAGAAAAAAACACCCTTTTTTAATGTGTGGTTGCCATTTTTCCTGAGCTGTCGTTAGAAAGTTGCAGTTTGTATATCGTTTTTCGAGCGTTTTCCTCTTCTTTGACTATTTAGAAAGGAAACATAGACAAACCTACTTTTCAATTCCTCCACTCAAAAACTTCATACCATGACTGACGGGAAGAATATTAATTAATTAATATTAAGAATTTATTAGCTTCTCAGTAATATATAATGTGATTTTATGGAAATAAGGAAGACAATCCGATTGCGATAGAAGTTATTGGGCACATGTATTTTGCAATATTTTCTAGAAACAGAAAGAAGACGCATCACGTAAAACTGTTGAACCATAAACTCGCTCATTTATAATTAATTAACAGCGATGATAATGAGATGAAATGTTCCCCCTCTTATTCTCAGTGGTCTAGTACGAATGAATATACTCGTGAAAATGATCCAAAATGAGTACATAATATAGAAGAAATTCTGTTGTCAAGCTATCCTACAAAAACTGGCACAATTCTGGGAAACTATAGGAACTACCTTCCGTGTGGAGAATCCGTTACCATACACGGTAGTCTCAAAATATGAGAATATATTACACAATTCATTACTCTACGTTCCCCGTCCTCTCTGGATGAATTATCAGAGGAATACCGACGCAAGATGGCGTGCCCGTTTGTCAGGGGCTTCAGAAGTCACGCTCGCCCTCACAGCCAACGCTCAGGCGTTGTCCCCACAGGCGCTGAGGGCGGCCAGGAGCTGGAGCAGCGCGAGGACGCCGAGGACGCTGAGGACGGCCTGGCCGCTCGCGCGGGGTGCAGGAGGCGAGGGCGCAGGACCTGGCGACCGCGGCGCCTCAGGCTGCGTGCGCGGCTGGTGCGTGAGCGTGGGCGAGAGCGTGTGCGTGTGCGCGTGCGTGAGAGAAGGCGAGCGCGCTGCGCCGGCGGCGGAAGCCACGGCTACCCCCCACCCCTCCAAGGGCGTCATTCCCCTCGAGGGGGCATCGTCGCTTGGAAATATATTTTTTTATTCACTGATTATCCCTTAGACTCGACACGTAATGACTGCAGAATGACTCAGCTACATGCACAATTTATTGCACAATTTAACATGTAAGTTACAATTGAGCTCCTACAATGGTTTTATTTATTAATTTTGAGTTAGAGGTTAATCTTTTGATTGACGGGGATTGTGGGGGGAGGGGCGGGATAACAGGGAAGAGGAATTATTATTGTATGACATCACGGGGTATCGTTTCTTAATTCTTGGAAAACATGGTGATGTTTTTCCATAGGGAACTGTGGGGAAGGTGTAGGGAGTGCTTCAAGATAGAAAGATTTATTCTGAACACTAAATTGGGTCCTCACATAGGGGTTAACAGCATGGCTTACACGAAATTTGCCATTGTACTGTCCCTGCATTCGTGGATCTTTGAACTGCCTCTCACAACACGTCAATACCTCCTGGAGTTCCAAGAGAGAGTGGAATCGCTCCGCGCGTTCAGTAGTGAAAGCCGCGGTCTGGGTCTCTGACGAGTAGCTGGTAAAGTTTTTCTCTCCTTGTAGTCCGAATATTTGCATTATTGCTGTATCACAAAAGAGCTCAGAATTGTTCGCCCAAGGTGGCGTTTCTACGCAGACCACGTGGTTAAAATGCTCAGAGACCGATCAATGGTAGTTCATGTGGTAACACATTATTCATTGCCGCGTAACTACACTCCCACTTCCACAATAGTCGCACTCACTCATAGTATCGACTTTAACACCTGTTCTTGACTAATGAGTGAAGTTAATGGCGCTTATATCTTAAGAGAGGTGTATAGGTGGTATATACAACTATATTTCCGTGCTAATATAGAATATTACAGATAGAATATTTCTTAATGCTTGAAAAATTATCAGAACAAAACGACTTAATTTTTAATTTGGAAATATTGTCATTATTAAATTGTCGTAACTTGTTGAGTTGTTTGTTCAAGTAGTCAACACCGTATGAAATGAGTTCTGCATGTGCCGCAGAATTTCTACTTCCACTACTTTACAATAATTCAACCTGGTCTAGAGTTCGTGCAATATGACAAAGAATATCTACTTAAAATTTTGAACGATTTTCAGTCTGTCTGGAAAATACAACTTTATTCTCGTTACCAGAATAGAAAGATAACACAAAGCGGTTGGAGGATTTGTTGTGGTTTATTTAAACAACAACGGCTTGGAGAACCCCATTTGTTTTGCTCTACCGTACAGTCAATCGAATATTACACATATTGATAATATTTACGTTTGGTACAATTAGAACTTTCGGATATGCACAAGGGCATTAGCGTTCGCAAATGAATTATATTTATGGTCGACACCACCACGAACCTCAACATATTCCTGTAAGGATGTTCGGGAAATAATTACCAGACCAAGATGGGAGTTGTGTTCAAGCAAGAATTTTAGCTGTAGAGACCGTGAGAGTGTAAAGTGCTGTACTCGAATTGTGAAAAGTGTTTGTTTGGGAACAAAAATCTACTGTTTTAAAGGAATCTCGAGATTCAAAGTTTCCAATCGAGTCTACCCCTCCAGCCCCGTGGCCCAACCACCACCTCGCGTCACGCGCTCGCCTTGCACGGGACGCGGGTGAGAGCAGCGGGAGACCTCGCCGGCTCGCCACCTGCCCCGCCCCGGCCCGCTTCCCCGCTCCTCCCCACCCCTACTCCCCGGCGGCCCGCGGCCGCGGGTCGCGGTCCCCGCCACCGGCTCGGCGCGCGCCCGCGCCGGCCCCTGGGCGCGTCGTGGCAAGGCAGGTGCTGAAGCAGCGGCCGGGCGCTCCCGGCCTTGAACGTGGCCTTGGCGGCAGGAGGTAAGGCGCAGTGAGCAGTAGCTGCATGTCTTTGTTCTCCGTCTGCCTTTCCACCTCCTCAGGGACACCAGAACTACAGATACTGCACCACAGAACTACTGCATACAGAACAACATGGTCTACCGACACCTGCTGGACTCCCTCTACACAAACTCAACTCTTGTCTCTCATTCATTCCGCTTTTTTCTCTGTCTCTGTGCTGGCCGTGGGCTTCCGTTGCGCCCTTCTCTTGTGTTCTGACTGGCTCTTTCTCTGTGTAGGTGTTGCTCTGCTCCTGTCTAGTGGCTGTTCTACTTTTTTGTTTAGTTTTTATCTCCCTGTGCAGCTGTTTCTGGCTGTATGTAGCTGTACATACGTTGGATGTGCCACAGCTCGGTGTCGCCGTGTTGTGCAGTGCATGTTCAGTGTCTGTGTGAGGACTCCGCAGCCACTGGTATCCCTCCCTGCCGGCGATCCTCAACGCCCCCTCTCCCCAGTCCTCAGCCCGAGGACAGGACCGACCCCAACCGCCGACCGCCTTACCTCTCATGTGCTGGCATTAGGCCAATTCTCCAATACTCCCTCATTAACTCGTGCTGAATAAAAACAACATTAATAAAAATCATATTTAAATCAGTTTTAATACCCGAATTCGGGAGAGGCGCCTAGGGGTAGCTGTAATGACGGCATCGACACTCACCATCCATTTGTAATCGCAAGATAACAGGTATCGTACTTTAGTTGGGGGGGGGGGTTCTGAGATTGATATCACTGACTGTTCTATTGTGCTGAATCGTTTGTTCTTGCATGAAAATAAGTACGAATTTCTGCGAGGCACACGAGCCGGTGAGATGATGACTATGTTCAGAGCATGTAGTAGTTCTTTACTGTGCGTAGCATCATCCACTAGTGATGCACATTAGGAGAGAAAACGGGAGATTCAAAAGTACATGTCAAAACCTTGTTTGAATCGACGACATTGTAGTTATAGCCTTCGTTGCGTATTCACTGAGGAAATGAGGTTTATTCTTGCGAAATGGATGTGGTGGTATCGATCCCGAGACCCCAGGGCGCCCGAGCGGCCTGTGGGCGCTGCCGCTCGCTGCCCCTTCTGCTCTCAGGCTGTCTCCCTTCTCTAACACTCTTCATCTATTTCTCTCTCTCTCTCTTTCTGTAACTGAAACGACTAAAATGACTCGCAACCGGCCGCTGAAGAGCGCATTCTTAAATTCCAAAAGCTAACGTGCGCGCAGTCAGGCGCGGTGCGCAGTGTTTAGACGCGCGTGTCGGCGCCCCCCGCCGGGGGCCCCACGCCGGTTCCCCGCCCCTTCCGGCGCGCGTCGGCCGCCCTCGCCCTCCCCTCCCCTCCCCCCTCGATCGCTTACGGACGCCACTCCATCACCCTCGAGCCCCCATATCCTGCGGCCGTCAGACCCGTTTTTTCTCTCGCGGTTATCGCTTTTGGAGCACAGAGCGGCTCTGAGGGAATCTGCCAAAGCAATGCCAGAGACATAGGGCGTCTCATGTATCATTTGAAGGTCTTTTTTGTATTTCGCACACGATTACCTCGCAGTGCATACAATAAAATAAAGATCTTGAAATTTACCCTCAATACCAACCCAATTATGATCGAAATATATAGAACTACAACGTGTGTACAAAAAGTAGCACGAAGTGTGCACACAATCTGATAAATGGGTTTACAAAATATTTTGGAACCAAGGAGAAACTGAAGGAGAAGTTGCAAAGCCCATAATTCTGCAATTCTGTAATTCTGTCGAGAACCTCTCGTAATCACCACTCACTCCACATGAACCGGTCAGAATTCCAACTTTGGTAAACAAGTTCATTGCTTTTATTTTCACACCGATCACTTGGGGCGTGGAGCCTACGATCTACCGGGCTTTATTGAACAGATACGAATAATAGTAGCGATTATCTACTTAGGCGGGTAATCTCTCTTCCGTAATAACCACACTCCCGTCGCAGCCGTCACTATTCGCTATTTACACCATTGTCGGGGATGCCTTCGGGTGAAGACAGTAACAGACATTCGTTGTCGAATTCTTGAGGAGAAACTGAGTTCGCGGAATATAAGTATTAGTGCACAGAAAGGTGACAACGTCGGACGACCACAGGCGTTGAAGACGACAACGAAGATGACGTAGCAACGACGTAGCAAAATGACGACGAAGAAAAACAGCGACGACAAAGGAGGACGATGACGAGGAAGCAGACGAATAGCCGTCAAGGACGATGAAAGACGATGACGACGAAACAAAACGACGACGAAGAAGAACCAAGGTGAAGGCGGACTACGTCGAATAAGGACGACAGCGGAGAATAAGGGCGGCGACGACAAGAAGAACAACGACGACAAAAAGGACGCCGACGAAGGGTCGCCGACAAACAAAGGCGCCGAAGAAGAATAAGAACGATGAAGATGCATGACGGTGATGAAAGACGACGATGAAGTATGACGACGTTAAAGGATGACGATGAACAAGAACGACGAAAAAGATCGGTGACGAGGAAGAGGTAGGACGACGAAGGACGAAGATGAACATCGAATAAGAAAGACGACGACGACTATTGTGATGAAATAAAATAAGGACGATTACGAATGGACTAGTGAGCAGATCTCCAACGGAAATTGAGAGGCTGGTTTCTCCTACCGATAATATAGGGCAGTGCGGGAGTACAAAACCAATCATTACTTTCCCCCCGAATTATATCAGTGGCACAAGGGGGTCATCTTTCTTTTGTACTCTCTCTTGAGGCTCTGGGAGGTGTAAATACTGAGTGGGATTGTAAACACTGCTGATAGTACATGCAAAAGTACTTGGAAAATGTAATATCGGGAACGATGGATTTAGTAAACTTTATAAGCTCTCTTAAAATTTTAAACATTTTAGGTCCGTCCCCCCCCCTCCCCGCTTTCGAGGATTTTTACTCTAATACCTCCTAATGATTGGATAGATGTCCCTCTTCTGCGCAATTGCTTTGGCTTGTTCATTCAGAAACAACCTGTGTGTAATTAGCATATCTCCAAATAACTTCATTTACTTTGACGGTGTATTAGACACCAAAAAAATAAAATGGTGCTTTAACATTTTAATTTTATGATAATTTGTCCGTTTCTGTATTGCTCGAAATACGTTTTCCAAAAAAATAAATCCAAATCTATTTGTTAGAAATTTAAGGAGACAAATTTGAGAAACAAAGCATATAGTATTCATTTTCTAGTTGAAATTATATGATGGCAAAAAGTTAATAAGTTAATTGTCTCCTACAAATTCGACAAGGAGTCCACAGAACTAAATAAAATGGCTATCTTCTTAAAATCCCTCGTAACTCGTGGATCTAAACATGTCTAAGCAATTAAAGGCATTTCGAAAGCCTTTAGCAACGAAAGCAGCGCAAAGCGAAAGCACAAACCCGAATCTTGAAATTCGCCAGCTATTTTTTCAGCGCTGCAACATCAGCCAGTCATCCTGTAAGTAGAGTGATCACGACCGGCCCGTCATTTGTGTCTCCTCCCGTCCTCCTTCCGGCCCTTGCTACAGTGCGCTCCATCTCCTCATGCTTGTTGGGCTCGCCACGCCGCGCCGTCTCCGAAGGACTCGCTGGATCCTCCGCGCCCCTCCCTCTTCCGTCTCTCTTTTTTCCTCTCCACGAGCGACGTTGCCTTGAAGACGCTACGTGCTGCGGCCATCCGACCTCGCCCCCCCCCCCCA